CCCTGCCCGCCCGGTGGCCGGCGAGGAAGCCGGAGCTGCCCTCGGGGACTGCATCCCCGAAGTGCCCGGTGGGCGCCCAGGGGGAGGTGGGTATCCACGCAGCTGTGCCCCGGGGAGGACTGGAGCGGCAAGAGCGGCGGGGAGTTTGCCGGTGACTTGGCCCCACCCCCGAAGAGGGACCCGCAGGTGTTGGCGCCCAGGGCGGGCCCACTCTGCGCGCTCCGAGGCGGTGAGGCCGCCTCCCCCCGGAACGTCCGCGGGGAAGAAGGGTATAAAGGGAGAGGTGGTATACCCAGACCCCCTCGAGTAATGAAAAAATCATGACGGGAGGTTTTTCACAATTTTCGGCCTCCGGGGGCCCTCACCGGGCCTCGGGAGCGTCAAAAAACGACTCAGGATGCAAAGCCGGTCATGGGGAAGGGGTCAAGACCTCTGGGGGTCGACGTAATGAAAAAATCATTACGTCGGGGGTCTGGGAGGACGGGTGGCTTGGGCCAACGTCTTGGCTGGCCAGCCCTCCCGCGCCGAGCCCTGGAACCCGGGGGGCCCCGGCGTAGCGAGCCAGACGGGCTGGGGGCGCCAGCCCAGCCAACCCCCAGCCGAGGCGAGCACCTGGATGAAGAGGGACCCGAGGAAAAAGCGGGTCCCATTGCCGATGCCGAGTGGGCCAGCCTTGTGTGGCTCTTCTGGGCGTGTCGCTGCCTTCTCAGGACATTGGACTGGCTCGCAGGCCTGTCCCTTGGGGACCTTGTGACCCGCTTCCTGGCGACGTTCACCTTCATCGTGCTATCCTTCCTGGGCCTCTATATCCTGGACATGGTCCTCCGCCCCATATGTGAGGCCTACGGTCGGGTGCGTCGGAACCCTTGGTGTCGGGAATGGTTTATGATGGTTGAGGAGAAGCAGTTGTTCTTGATGGAGCTGGACTGGCGGGGCCTTGGAGGGCGCCCCGTCGACGACGACTTTTAACGGGATGTCATCCGCGCGCGGGGCGATCAGCCCCCTCGATCCCCCAACCACCTGGTGGCCGAATTGGAAGGCGAACGGGTCCGTCTGGATCGGGGACTACACGGGGCACCAGTCCAGCAGGCGAGACGCCACGGGCAGGGCTTCCCGTACGCCAAGGACATCAGTTGCACCAGCCCCGACCTCCGGGCCCGCCTGGGAGGGCTCCAGTCAAGGTGATCCACCTCTTTCATCCTCTGTCGGGAGGGGGGTGCCTGTGGGAGCACCCCTATGGCGGCAGCCTGTATTCCGAGGCAGGGGCCGTGTGTCAAACCGCTCCCTGCTCAACGCTCATGGGGTGTCGGAGGCGGCGGCCTCCGAGGCCCAGGACGCGGACCCCCCGTAAAAGCAAAGGGAAAATGAGCCCCGGTCCTCCCATGGAGGGTCGCCGCGACGTCGGCGTACCAGATCTTCGCGTGCGCCAGCTCGAGGTCCTCGCGCTGCACGACGCCCCGCTGCCCGACGCCGTCGTGCTGCTCCGCGTCCTGCCCGTGCGCGGACTTGTTGGCGCGCCCCGCCGCCTCGGGTGCCACAGAATGCTGCGCCGAGCTCTGGAGGGGCGTCCTGGGGCCCGCCCCAGCTCCCAGCGCCTCCAGCAGCACACCCGCGCGGTCGAAGCAAAGCAGGGCGGAAGGGCCGCGCCGCCGACCGCAGCGGGGGAACGCAGCACTGCTGCACGGTCGCCGCGCCTCGGCACCACGGCCTCGCAGACCTCCGCATGGCACACGACCGCGCCTGCGGGGCCGCAGCTGAGGCGCTCTGCGGGGCGCAGGTGCAGGGCCTCTATAGCTCATTGGCAGAGCGTCCGTCTTGTAAACTGAAGGTCCTGGGCTCTCAATCCCCAGCGGAGGCCATGGGCGCGCGGGCGGCGCGACGGCGGGCCCACCTGGATACAGAGCCCGCCTGATGGCGCGACAGCTCGCTGGCCCCTTGGCATGTCCTGCTTCTGCTTGGCATCGCTCGGACACGTGAATTTTTCCTTCGGCGAGGACCACCGAGGAGCACCCTTGATCATTTCGCGAAAAAACCACGCACGAAACCGAAAAAAAAAAAACAGGAAATGGACGTCCGAGCGATGGCCAGTCTGCGCCGTTCTCAGCTCGGTGGCCGACGCGCTGGCGACGCTCCCCGTGGGGGCCCGCGTTCGCGCGCGCAATTAGCGCGACGCTGCGCCGCAGCTTCTCTCCGGCCACGAGGGCCGCTATCGCCGCGGCTCGGCGACCCCAGCGCTGGCCCTCACCGAGGTGAGCCCGTCGGCCAGGCCGGCGTCGCCCGCGAGCGCCTCCGGCGCCCGATCGGCGAGGGCCCCCCGCTGCTCCTCGAGCTCGCTGGCGCGCGCACCGGGCATGCCGAGCAGCAGCAGCAGCACCAGCTGCCGAGCGGGCCTGCCGCGCCGCCTCGCCTCGCTCGGCGCGAGAGCGAGGGAACCTCCGAGGGCCCCGTGGCCTAGACGTGCCACCTTGGCATCGCTCGGACGTGTGCATTTTTCCTTCGGCGAGGACCATCGAGGAGCATCCTGGATCACTTGGCGGAACAACCACGCACGAAACCGAAAAAAGCACAGGGAATGGACGTCCGAGCGATGGCCAGTTCCACGCCCTCCCCCGATGCAAACGTCGCAGGGCCTCCCTCGCGCCCTCCCTGTGTGGGACCCGTCGCCATCATGCCCAAGCGCTCGCGGGCGCGCGCACGAGCCAGGCTGGAGCCAAAATGGCTGCGGAGGTGATGGCCTGCTGTGCTGGTCTGCCGTGCTGGTCTGCCGTGCTGGTCTGCCGTGCTGCTGTGGTTTGCAGTGTTCCTACTGGTCTCACTCGGGATTGAAACCCAGATTGCATCTCAGCCTCTAGATCTTCGCCAGCGCGTGGAGTCAAAACTGTGTACAGCTTTGCTTGCGCTGCGACCAAAAAAAAGCTGTCGTCTGCCGTGCTGGTCTGCCGTGCCGGACTGCCGTGCTGGTCTGCCGTGCTGGTCTGCCGTGCTGGCTTACCGTGCCTCTGTGGTCTGCGATGGCCCCGCGGTCTGCCGTGCGGGCCCGCCGTGTTGGTCTGCCGCGTTTCTGAAGAATGGCCGTTTCGTTCGAGACATCCCAAAAAATCGGCCCCAGAGGGGACTCCGATTCGGCATCGTCTGAGAATCGTTCCCGAAGGACTTTCGAATGGCCCAAAGGAGGCCCAAAAGATCCCCCAGAGGGCCCCGAGAGCGCCCAAGAGCGCCCCGCGAGGACCCCAAGAGGCCCCCGAGAGCGCTCCAGGAGGCACCCAGACAGCTCACAAGAACCCCAAGACGGCCATCGACGGGCCAAGAGGGCCCCAAGAGACTCTCGGAGACGCCCCATGAGGCCCCCTAAACGGCCCAAGAAATCTTCAAGACGGCCCGAGATGGCGCCGAGACGGCCCAAGAAACCTCCCAAAGAACCCCACGACGCACCCAGACAGCCCAAGAAGACCCCAGAAGCCCACAAGAGTACAGTCGGGGTCCTGAAGAAGGAGCCCTTTTCGGTGGGGAGGGGCTCCGCGTTCCTTAAGTGTTTCGCAGCTTGCCTCAGGTGTTCCTTATGTTTTCGATGGGAAATCGAAGCTTAACTTATGGAAAAAAAGGGGCCTCGTTCCTTATTTAGGGTTCCTTAGGTCAACGCCCCGACTGTACCCAAGAGGGCCCCAAGAAGCCCCCAACAGGCCCTAAGACAACCCCACGCGGCGCCAGGAGCCCCTAGGGTGGCCCGATAGGGTCGCCATGACTCAGGAGGAAAAGAAACACACAGACACAATTAATCCTCGCTTCCCCAGAAAATATAGGAAAATATGGGAAGTCGGGGGGAAGACAGAAACCCAGAAAGTATGGGAAGATATGGGGATGTTTTATTTGTGTGTATTTATTTGTGTCCTGGGGCCCCTTCAATGACCCTCTCCTGATTCAACATCCTTCTCCAATTGCCTCTTGCTGTCCTCCGTCGTCCTCGTCGTCGTCGTCATCGTCCTCCGCATTCCTCCCCGTGCTCGCCCTCGTTCTCTTCGTCCTCGTCCTTGTGCTTCTCTTCCTCCTCGTTGTCCTCATGCTCCTCCTCGCTATCCTCACGTTCTCCACGTCGTCCTCATCATCTCGTCCTCGTCGCCCTCGCATTCCAGGGAAATCGAAGGGTCGCTTTGAAATGTATTGCAGGGTCCGCACAAGGTTTTTGCAGTGTGTGGGGGGGTCGTTGCCAGGCATTGCAGCGGGTGCGGCGAGGTCCAGGAGAGAGTGTCAGGGAGAGTGTCGGGATAAGAGCTTGCGTGAGAAGTTGAAAGGTCTACCTCGTTAAAGCTCGGTTTGAACGGTTTTGCAGGGTATTGCAGGGGTCTGTCTGGTTCGCAGGGTACGTACTGCAGGGTCGTGCTGCAGGGTGTTGCAGGGTCGCGGGATCGGCTTTGCAGGAGGGGCCGTGCAGGTTATTCGAGGGGGGTGCGGCGAGGTCCAGGGGAGAGGCCAGGGAGAGGGGCTGTTCTTGGAAGAGAGAACGAGCTCGCTAAACCACGCAAGCCCAGATGGCGAAGAGCTAGCTGGTTAAAACACCGACGCCCAGGGGCTGGTGGGATTAGAGCTCGACCGAGGGAAACGCGCCAAAACATTCCAGCCCGAAGGGCTGGTGGGAGGACTGCAGGGTCTTTGCAGGGTATGGCAGGGTCGGTTGCAGGGTATTGCAGGGCATTGCAGGGGTCTGGTTTGCAGGGTACTGCAGGGTCTTGGGTCGTTCTGCAGGGTATTGCAGTATTGTATTGTGCAGGGTCGTGGAATCGTCTTTGCAGGGGAGCTTTGCAGGGTATTGCAGGGGTGTGCAGCGAGGTCCAGAGGAGAGGGTAGGGAGAGGGTTTCTATTGGGACGATGGGTGAAGGAAGGCGCTATACAACCTCCACCCAGAGAGCTGGTGGCACTTGGGGTCCAGGTCCCGGAAATAATTTGCAGGGGCAAAGTTTCAGGCTCACACACACACACACCCTGACACACAGATCCGTAACCATTTTGGCTCAAGATACTTTGGCTCAAGCCATCTTGCTGGAGATACGTTTGGTTCAACACGAGTTGTTACCATCATCATGTCGACGGGACATGTTGCATCTGAAAGTGCTGATGCACAAGTCCTAGGGAAAGGTGGAGGCGACGCACCTACTGAACCACGTCAAGCGACTGAGGAAGCATCTAGGAAAGTTTCGGAAACAACGATATTGATGAACGCGCCCCATCCGGGCAATTCGGCAACAAACGGAGAAGAACCCCGCATGACCATCGGAAACAGATACGACACAGTGGATGGACTCCGCGGGTTGGGCTGTTCGTTGGTTATGACATATCATCTCCGGTTGGGTGTATACAGTGCTTGGGTCTGCATCGGGTTGTTTTTTGCGCTTTCAGGGCTTCTCATGACCTCGATTGCTTTAAGCGCGCAAGCCAAGCATTGCGAATTTAGCGTTTTAGTTTTCTGGAAGCGGCGTGTGGCGAGGCTGATCCCAGCTCTGATGCTTGTAGTCGTGGGCATCTCGTGCAAGACCTTGGTGGAGAGGGCCATCACAGGAGAACCTGGACCGGTTGCATTGTATTACCTTCGTAAAGATTTGTTGTGGCAATTGCTTATGGTCAGAATTGGAACATGATTTCCCAGGCGCAGGATTATTTTGCAGACACCAAGAAGGCGTCGGTGGTACGGCATGTGTGGAGCCTTTCGATTGAGGAGCAGTACTACATTATGTGGCCCATTGTTTTCCTAGCGATTCAGCGTTTGGCTGCCTTTAAGACCGCCAGCACGGTGCGTGAGAGCAATGTGCCTGGTCTGGGCTCGGAAATGTGCTCGTCAATGTTCAGACCTCAAATGCAGCTTTTGCTCAAACTGTTAGCTTTCTTTGAAGTTGTGGCGATTTTGTTCTCGCAATACATATGCATCTATGTCTACCAGACTCAGGGTGGATCTGCGGCATATTTCGCGAGTTGGACACGCGCGGGAGAATTTGCCGTCGGCGGCTTGGTTGCTTGCTGCTTACACCTCTCGCCGTGGAGCTACGCACTAATCTCGCGCTCACCAGACCGCTCTAAGATGAGCATGCCCCTCCGCATCACGTTGGAAGTTGCACCCGGTGCCACTATTGTGTCCATCCTGGGATGTAGCATGATACCTGTGCATCAAGATGTTCTAATGCGGCACTACGTCTATTGGCTCAGGCTTCCGCTGACCTTGGTGGTGGCATTCGGTTGCGGTATTCAGTTGTTGCAGACTAGCGAACCGCTGCCACCTTGGGCCATTTTCACCAAACTCACGAGCAGCCGTGTGTTAGTCTACTTCGGTATTATATCCTTTGGTGCATACCTCATACATTGGGTTCTCATAGTCTGGTGTGGTGATTCAGAAATCAACACCGCGCATTCAATGACGACGTGGCAAGGACGACAGGCGGGCATGGTGGGGCGCGACGTTGCGATAGGCTTCGCCTCAATCGTATTTTCCACAGCGTCATTCTGGTTATTTAATCGCTTCGCTCATTCCGCCGGCCCATACAGTCTCATGTCTGCCGTTTACCCGAGGGCCTGGTGTCAATGCGGCGCTTTGGGGGTTCCTGGGGCCGCTTGGGGGGTTCCTGGGGCGCTCGGGGGGGCATTTTGGGGGCCTCCTGGGGCCGCTTGGGGGACTCTTGGGGGCCTCCTGAGGGCCTCGTGGGGGCCTCTTGTGGGGCCTCTTAGGGGCCTCTTGGGGCCTCGTAGGGGCTTCTTAGGGCCGAGGGCTCGAAATTTTGTTTCGTGTTCCCTCTCTGGGGCCCCTTTGGGGGCGTTCTTAGGGCCCTCTTGGACCGTCTTGGAGGCTTCTTGGGCCGTCTTCGAGCCCTCTTGGGCCATCTTGGGGCCCTCTTGGGGGCCTCTTGGGCCCTCTTGGGGCGATCTTGGGGGCCTCTTGGGCCGTCTTGGGGCGTCGGGAAGCCGAAAAGGTGGAAGCTCCAAAATCTTTCAAAAACCTAAGGAAAAACAATGAATTTTGCCTCCGGGGGCCCTCTTGGGAGTGCTCTTGGAGGCCTCTTGGGGCGTCTGGGGGCTATCTTGGGCGTCTTGGAGCGATCTTGTGGCATGTCGGACCCCTCGTGTACCATCTTGGGGGCCTCTTGGGGGCCTCTTGGCCTTTCTTGGGGCTCTCGGGGACGTCTCGGAGCCCTGTTGGTGCGCTCATGGAGCGCTCCTGGAGCGCTCTGGGGGAGTCTCCCGGGGATCGGTCGGGGATCGCCCGGGGTACTTTTCGTCCGGGGACCCCCAGGGGCCGCCCCGCGCGCGCGAACTAGAGAATTGTTAACCAGTTACAGGAGATCTTAGCACGCCTCTGGCCCGTTGGGCCGGCGAATTTGAGAAACCATTGGTGCAGCGTTCGGCCAAGGCGCGGCCTGGTTTTGTCATCGCATCTGGCATACTTTCGATGGGCTGCGTTGCCATGCTGGCGCTCTCAGCAACAAGAGGCGGCATGGAACCAACTTCTGCGTTTGTCGACTTTTCAGGTGCTTCTAGCGACAATGTGCGCTTTCATGGGTCGGGGTCAACCAGTGCTGGCTTTGATGCGCCAACGCGTCTGTTGTTTCTAGGTGATAGCCAGTCCGATCGCCTGGCGCGCCTTATGCAAATGATTAACGGCGGTGATCAATATCGTTGTCCTGCGAGTTATGCCGAACCGTGGGGACCCAAGGTAGTCAATCACGGAGAGCCCGGAGGGTGTGTAATCCAGGGATTTGGCACGGAGCGTTGTACTATGTGCATGAAGCCAACAACTTCCAAGAGTAAAATCATACACACGACGCGTGATGTCATTGTGAAGGAGCAGGCGCCTTATGTTTTTGTGATTGATAGCAACTACTATCGGGGGTGGGAGACCGCCCCCAAGGATGACCCGAAGCGACAAGTAGGGCTTTGGGGGATGGAACTTCCATTGCAGGAAGCGTTGCAGAGAATGATCACCCATATAGCGTTGAATGGCGCACGCCATATTTTTTTGTCCACGTCTTCACCGTTTCTCAGATTCAAGAATTTTACACAGGAGCACGTGGGCGCGACACTGCAGAGAAATGTATTTCAGAAGGTAGTAGGCACAATGCGTTGTCGAAGCTCCACTCATGCAGGGCACCGGGTATTGGTTTCCATTGTACATTATCATAAGTTGGTTTGCCCAAACTTTGACGAGCGAGTGGCGGAGAAGGTTCGTGGCAAATCAGAGCTCTGCAACCAGAGTGGGCCAGGCTTCGCGAAGAAGATGGACGACTACAATTTTCACGCGAATTTCGGCCCAGGGGGTAAGTATTTGGTACGCCAGCTTCAAGAGGCGTTGTATACAGGCATCGCCCGACAAGGCTCACGTTTTGCCAAACCGTTTGAGGGGCCTGTGAGGTACCGTCGGCAGGACGAACTTCTGAAGAGTCCAGAAGGTCTGCTCACTACGACCGAGATTTGCGTCAAGCGGACGCAGCCTCGGGTCACCGAGATGTTGCTGCAGCACCAGGGCGCCAATATTGAGTTGCCTAATGGAGAGAAGGATGTCTATATGTGTCGTGGTTTCAAGTTTGACGGATTGGAAGATGGCACTGGCATCACATCCCTCTCCGTTATCAAAGATAAGGAAACATGGAACCGCATTCACCACGTAGCCCATTTCAGTTGTGACCCCTCATTCAAACCACCCGAAGATTTTCAAGAGTCCTTTCCGTGTACTCACTCGCCCTTTTGGGACGGATGCAGCCGTATGGTACACGTGTTCAACAATGGAGCGGCTGAGTTCGCATTGCCCCGCGGCTTTGCCTTCCCCTTGCCCACGAAAAACGCCATGTTGCAAGTGCATTACAAGAGGGGTGAGGCCAAATTCTCCGACACTTTCCTTGACAGCACTGGTGTCCGTATCAATTTGGACAGAGATCTCCAGCCTGTGCACCTCTTCGAGTTAGGCCCCAGATCGGCCCAGATGTTATCAATCCCCCCCAAGACAAGCGCGTCATGTTGTGCAGTCAATATGTGCGCCGGATTGCTTGAGTGACGCCATGGAGGAGAATGCAGCGACAGAGTTCAAAATCATTGCAGTGCAGCAACACATGCATGTTGCAGGCATTGCCGTAAAATCGGAGGTCCTTCATGCGAATGGCAGCTCCACGCCTTTTGGTGTGTTCCCGAGCTACAACATGTCAGAGCAAGATATGAAGCTCTTGTCCAGCGAAGTCGTTGTGTCTCGCGGAGATGCTTTGAAGGTTACTTGTGTATACGACTCTTCCCAACGCGCACGGTGGACATGGAATGGGATCAGCCTTGCTGATGAAATGTGTTTCAGTTACATCCTCATGACCCAGACGCCGCTCTA